CCTCCTGCCTGCCCCCCTGCCCACCCTCCTGCCTGCCCCCCTGCCTGCTGCCTTGGGCTGCCCGGGGGGTGCAGTGCAGGGCCACCCAGGCAATCCTGCTTCAGCAGGGGAGTTGGACTAGATCATCTCTATGGTCCCTTCCAACTCTAAAAATTCAGTGAAAAATTCAGTGAAACTCTCTGGCTGAGGGTCACTTAGGGGTGGCAAGTATCTCCTGTCCCCCCCTCAGGGCTGCTGGCTTGGTGAAGGCAGCACGGCTGCCCCAAAGTTTCTTGGTGTCTGGGATAGCCCTGCTGGGGAACTGAGCAAGGGGGGGACACACCCTCTCCCCCCTGGAGCCACCCGGCCACATGTGTCCTGCTAAGCAGTTTCAGGCTTCTGAACGCGGTGGCCTTGTGGGTCATGGTCCCCAAATCTGCAGGGGCTGTGCGGGGGGCACACCTCAGAGGGTGGGCAGCGGGGCTCAGGGAGGCTCCAGCACCCAAGCCGGGGCCCTCACTCTGATCAGTTTGTAAGTACAGGCCATTTTTGTCCACACGCTGTCATTTCTCTGTTTTATGCCTGTGACGTGGTTTTTGATTATTTTCACCCATCGCTTTGAAAGCCATTTCTTCAGACCTGGGGTGTCCAGCCCGCTCAGAGAAGTCCGATGCTCTCTGTGGGGTGGTTTGCTGGCCTGACGGCATCTTTATCATCACTTTTACGGCCGTGTTCTCACCTGGCAGCATGAATCCATCCTGGCCATTCCCCGCTGAGACATTGACTGCGTGACTGGCACAAGGTGACACCAAGCCAGCAGAGGTGGGTACGGCTGGTCACAGGGGACACCCTCAGCCAGCGCTGTGTGTCTCCTGTCGACGGTGCCACGCGTGGGCTACCAAATCAGCTGCAGGAACCGGGTGGGAGCATTCCTGCCCAGCTCCTCCTGCCCTGGGAAGAGTTTTCCTTCTGTGACTGTGGATTTACTGGGAGATGACCACAGGGAAGCCCGAGGCCGGGTGCCCACAGAGGTGACCGGCATGAGATGAAACGCGGGGGGTGCTTTGACTGCAGAAAGGTGTGGTTTGTACTTCCCTTGTCACCCCTTTTCTCTGGTTTGGAGGATATATATATATATTTTTTATTTCCTAATTGTTGCTCTATCTTCAGGAATTTTTCAAAGCAGCTTCCCACGTGACAGATACTTTTACAATCCCCTTTGCGGGTGAAAAGGAGGGTTTCCTGAAGGAAATGTATGGCACGGAAACTGCGCTGCCCACGGAGCAGAGCATGTCCCGGGCCAGGAGCACACTCCTCGGTCACTGCATCCCCTTTCCTGGGCACCGCATCCCTTTCCTGGGCCCCGCATCACCTTTTCCCAGTCCCCGCCTCCCCTCCCCGGGCACCGCATCCCTTTCCTGCGCACCGCATCACCTTTTCCCAGTCACCGCATCCCCTCTCCCTAGCACCGCATCACCTTTTCCCGGGCACCGCACCCCTCTCCCGGGCACCGCACCCCCTCCCCAGTCACGGCATCCTCTCTCCCGGGCACCGCATCCCTTTCCCAGTCACTGCACCCCTCTCCCTGGCACCGCATCCCCTTCCCGGTCACCGCACCCCCTTCCCGCGCCGGGTGCCGTGCCGGCCATGCCCCGCCATGCCCCCACCCCATCCCCGCCCTGCCTTAGGCCCCGCCCCTTTCCCTGCCCCCTCGCCCTCCCTGCGCCCAATGAGCGGCGGCGCCCGGCGGCGGAGGCGGGGCCGCTCCTCGTTCCGCCGCTTCCGCTTCCTCGGCGGGGCCGCCATGGCGCCGGTGCGCTGCCTTCTGCCGCTGCTGCCCGCCCTGGCGCTCGCCCTGGGTCCCGCCGCCGGGCAGCCGAGG